ACATGTATATGTGGGTCTTCAAAGAGAGACCTGAAAATGCTCTGGGGAAGATGCAGCTCAGGAGCTACATGAATGGGCATTCACGTCAAGGGGAGCGCCTCTTCCCTTTCAGCGTGGAGAAGGGGTTTGTTCGATCTCACAGAATGCAGAGGAAACATTACAGGGGTCTCTCGAATCCCCAGTGTGTCCATGGTATCGAGGTTGTTCGGACTCCCAATCTCAATATTCTTGATGATGAGGAGCGGAAGAAGTGGATGGAGCTCACTGGAAGAGACTTGAACTTCTCAATTCCTCCTGAAGCCAGTGATTTTGGTTCATGGAGGCATTTACCAAACACTGATTTTGAGCTTGTGAGACCTCCAGCATTAAAAAGTAATCCAAGCTCCCATCCTAAAAGATTGCTTAGTGGTTCGAGCCTGAATTTATCTACGCAGACATCAAACCATTCAAATGGTGCAGGGTTGGAACTTCTGGCCATCTGCAACAAGCGGAAGAAGAACTTCTTCCCACATGTAAATGATGATGATTTTTGTTTGCCTATTAATTCGAATCAGGATAAAGTCTTGGATATCCATGCGATTGAGCCTCCTTGGTTGAGTGAGTTCACTGGAGTTATGAGGAGTGCATATGGGCCTGTGACAGCTGCAAAAACTATATATGAAGATGACCAGGGGTTTTTGATTATTGTTAGCATGCCTTTTGTAGATCTGCAGCGGGTGAAAGTTACGTGGAGAAACACTCTCTCACATGGAATTGTGAAGATATCTTGTGTCAGCATTGGGTGTTTACCAATGATCAAGAGACACGACAGGACATTTAAGCTAACAGATCCAACACCAGAGCACTGCCCTCAAGGAGAATTTGTTCGCGAAATTCCCCTTCCAACTCGCATACCAGAAGATGCTAAATTAGAAGCATATGGTGATCCAACAGGAACTATGCTTGAGATTCTTGTTCCTAAGCACCGTGTAGGACCAGAAGAGCATGAGGTCCGTGTCTGTCTTCGCCCTTCTCCTTGGAGTGAGCGTGCATATGTTGACTTGACAGAGGCTTTGGTCTGATGAATGTAATGGCGGTCCAGTCCAGGATTGCTGTTTCATTTTATTTACTAACTGATCTCATAATTGGAGATTATCAAGTAATTGTGCTGTTCAAGAAAAGTACTTTTTTTCTTTTCGTCGTCCTATTCCTTTTCTTTAACAGAATGAATCTTCCTCGTATAGAAGACTTGTCTAGCAGTATTGGTGGTCGTCAGTCAATGAATAGTCTATAGATGATTTTAGACTTAGTGGATTTTTTGTTCCTTAATTCTTAGAAAATTTGTATAACTCAGATATGTTTTCCAGTTTTATGAATCCAATATTACTTATTTTATTCTTAACATGTTATTACTGCTTGCCGTTCAGTGAAAGCCTCCTGATGTGATTTGAGTAGTCTTAAGTTTTGTTTTACGAGATTGGCATTACTTGTATCATCGTTTAGTGCCTAGCGAGCGGAAATAGTCTTGGTTTCAGAAAAGCTGAAACTGGGAATTTGGGTTTTCGTCTAATCATTTTAATCTCTTGAACCGTGAAGTTTTCTGCATCAACCTGCAGCCTCTGCCTTTGGAGCCTTAAACCCTGTTTTGGACCAAGATGCTTTTGCACCTTACAAATTTGCTTGAACAGGATCTCAAATTCAGTTCATTTCTGGAGCATAATTCGTATATGACAGAATCGTACTCTTCATCCACCTTTTTTTCCTGCGAGTTGCCATATGCATTCTTATCCCTTATCCTTTCATAGTTTCATCTTGCCTATACTTCCTCGATGCTAGGACACAAGATCTCCTCCTCAGCATGTTCATTACTACGAAAGATTTATCTTGCCTGTACCTTGTCCTCGGCATGTTCATTACTGCGAAAGAATACGTTTGTTCATGTCCATACTTCACCCTCTTCTTGTAATTCTACTTCTTCTTGAACTGGTATTGACATCTTTATCTACATCTTATAAGGTCCTCGCGTAACTATCTCTCTACTTGAATGTGCTGTGCTGTACGTGGAATCATGGTAACAAATTTTCTCGCTTTCATCCTACTGGGACATCAGAAGCACGTGATAATTTCATATATTCCACTTTTCTTGAACGTGTGGTTTGTTTTAGAGGATACGCGATTTCATAGGCAATGTCATATGCTTCTAGTGCCCTCTAAAGTCAATCTTTGCGTAAAGAAATCAGAAGCATGCTTGTGACTTTGGATCAAGAAGCAGATTCCCGCCTGGTTCACCTGGTTACAGTACTAAGGTTTAGTTTCACATACAATGCACAGAAGGATCTGCTGCTTCTTGCCCTCGCCAATGCTAAGTGGATACATGTTTTTTTTTTTTTTTTGGAGAGTGGATACATATCTTCTTTATCGTCATTGATTTGCGCTTTTACCAGACTATTGCTGCTCCTCACATTTTGAAATTGTTAGCCCTAATTTTGAAACTCTTCCTCTTTTAACTGGTTTGATAGATTGACATTCAGCCTTCTCGAAACCCAGGAAAGTACAGGACAAGCTTTAATCAAGTTTAATGACCATAAGTACTTAGGCAGAATCCCTCGAGCATAGGTCAAAGAACGGTCTGCATTCTAAAAATTCAAGGCTCCGTTTGGATTAGCTGTTTTTGGGGTTGTTTTTCAAAAACACCACTGTAGCATTTCGAATCTGAAAAACAAGTCCGTTTGGATTAGTTGTTTTTGGGGTTGTTTTTCAAAAACTATATGAAAAACTTTTACTGTAAATTTTTTTGGATTATTTTTAGAGGTATTTTTGAAACATATTTTTGAGTATTTTTAGAATATTATAATTTTTATATTTTTATATAAATATACATTTATGCATTTATAATACATTTATATTTACAAATGTATAAATGTATATTATTATAAATTATAAATTATAAATGTATAAATGTATAAATTATAATTTTTATATAAATATACATTTATACATTTATAATACATTTATAAATAAATATATTTATATATTCATATAAAAATATATAAATGTATTATATTCTATATAATACATATTATAAATATATTTATAAATGTATAAGTGTATATTATTATAAATGTATAAATTATAAATGAATATTATAAATATATTATAAATTATAAGTTTATATTATTATAAATGTATAAATTAATATATTATAAATATATATTAATATTATGTAGAAATGTATTTATATAATTAATATAAATGTATATATACATTAATATTATGTATAAATGTAAAGTTAATATTATGTATATTAATATAAATGTATAAATGTATTATATTATATATAATACATAATATAAATGTATATTTAAATGTATAAGTGTATGTTATTAAAAATGTATAAATTATAAATGAATATTATATAAATGTATAAATTAATATATTACAAATATGTTTTAATATTATGTTGAAATGTATTAATATAATTAATATAAATGTATACATGTATTAATATTATGTATAAATGTAAAATTAATATTATGTATATTAATATAAATGTATAAATGTACATTTATACAAATGTATAATATATTATATATTATATTATAAAACAAAATTGCATAAATATATTTATAAATTTATATAAATATATAATATTTATTTCAATTGACATAATATATATAATATTATACATAATTGAAATAAATATATTTATATTAATATAATATATATATATAATATACATATTAAAATACATAATTGAAATATACATATTAAAATATATAATTAAAATATATTAAAATATAATTGAAATATACATATAAAATACATAATTATAATATACAAATTGAAATATACTTATTAAAATATACAAATTAAATATGCATAATTGAAATATATTTGGAGTTGTTTTTGATATATTGTTTGGATTGGTGTTTTTGAAGTTGTTTTCGAAATACACATTTACTGTAGCATTTGGAATGTGAAAAACAGTTTTTCAAAAACAGGCTCAAAAACACCAATCCAAACGTACCCCAAGATTTTATGGAAAGTTTCGTCAACGGATGCGTAGGCATCCGTCTGGACCAGTGGTGATTCAATTCCTTCGAACCTCGTTCTTAACCCCTTTGGATCACTCTCCTCCCCTTAGTATAGAGTAAAAACAGATGTAAATTAGAATTTATCGTGTCTGATAAAAAAAGAAAAGTAGGAAGGCAGAGAAAGTCAAAGCAGATAGCAGATACTAGTAAAAAGTTTGCTTGCATAACATTCGACTATCGTGTCCTGTTGAATGTTATTGTGCATATAGACTCTTAGACCATTAATAACTAGTTTAATATCGTGTTGCAGTTCTCATTTTATTTGATTTGCTGTCTTAAATATTTGAACTCTCTTTATTCGACATTTTTCCAAAAGTTCACTAGACTTTTGCCATCCAGCTGTCACTAGTGTATTGCGTGACCCACAAAAGGCATGCAATGCCTTGATAGGATATCTTGATAATCAAAACACAAGATTACAAGAAGTAGTAATAATCATATTTACAATCAATGCCTGAAACAATTAGTCAGTGATTAGGCACTACTTGGGAAAACTGTCATGTACGTTAACAAGGAGGCGAAGATACACACTGATCATGAAATCGAAAAATGAGAAGCACTCTATGATTTTGAATTATATTTGATGAACGAGCAAATTATCCCAGTGGCCACTAAACTTTTGCCATCGTCGAGTTTTGATCACTCAACTATTAAAAATCTGGTTTTGACCACCAAACTGTATAAAAGGTAGACGCGAGGCCATTCTGTTAGATTTAGTCGTTAACTTCGCTGATCTATCCGTTTGCACGATTTCCAATACAAAGGGTAGGGTTAATTTAGGAAGTTGAAAATAGATCTTCTTGTTCTTCTTGTATAAAGCTAATAAAGATTACTTACCCGAGAGAAACCCAACTTGGATTAGAGGAAGTAGGACCAAGATCAACGCCACCAAGAGCCGGGTCAGCAAGATCCATGCCACCTACATCGATGGCACCCATTTTGCCTACTTGTGTTTGTGGGATGAAGACAGTAATGATAACTTCATGGACTGCACAAAATCCGGGAAGAAGATTTGCCAAATGCGCTTTGGGGGAGGTTTGTAACATTTTTTTAGATACTTAATTTATTTTTGTGTAAGAAATATAATGAATTTTTTTTCTGAAGGATGGCTGTGGCTATTGGGGTTGGATAGATGATGAAATGCGCTCTCGATCTACAATGATTATACCTGGTCTACTCAGAAAGATCAATGGAATGGAGGAAAAAATGGTTGAATTTGAAAAAACTGCAAGAAAGTGGGAAGCAAAAGCTGTGAAATTGGAGGGTAAAATGAAGCCACTTAAAATTGAAATTGCCAAGTACAAATCAGCCAATAAGCGACTCATTCGATGTGCAGTGTTGCCTTGGCTAATAGTTGTCTTAGCAATGTTTGTTAGGAGAATAGATAATTCTGGTGGCATGCTACAAATTTGTGGCATCGTTGAAAATCACTGAAGAATAGCTACTCAGTTGATTGTAATGGTAGCATATTGAAAGGGAAAGGGCAAATGGCTTTATAAATCCCCTTTTGTACCCCTCTGTATAAACATTTTGATGTATAAAAGTTGAATTGTTCACATGAATAAATAGTTATTATTTGGTGTCAAAAAAGGTTTGAAACAATACATTTCAGTTCTACTAATTTCATCAATCAATGATAGAGATATAAGATCTAAACAGAAATGCTGCATTAACATAGAACAATCTGCGTAGATTGGACAAAATAAATTGTTTGTACATATGGACCATGTTTGTAATAGGTCAGCATATCAAATCCAAAACAAACTTCATACAAAAAGGCAAAATGTAGTTGAATTATGTCCCAAGCTAGCTATAGCTTTACTTCCTCTTCAATTTCCAGATGTTGATCCTCTTTTGACTCTTGGTTGTCCTCTGGTAGTTGTTGCTGAAGTTCCTCCTCTTTTAGTACCAGCTCTACTCCATCTTCCTCTCCAATTTTCAACAGTGAAAGGAGGTTCTTTACCTAAAGATGCATAATTGGCGTTGATCCGCCCCTTTTCTGAATCTGTTAACTTTCGTTTTCCTGCCTTCTTTTGTTGATGAGCCCCTTGGCTCTGAGACTGCTGTTGGTTTTGTACAACTTCTTCCTACTGTCGATGTTGTGCACGTTCACTTTCCTCAACAACAGATTGTAATTGCTGTTGTTGTTGGTTCTGCTGATACTCTTGATCCTGCTGCTGTTGATTCTGCTGCTGTTGCTGATCCTGCTGCTGCTGATGTTGATCCTGTTGCTGGTGTTGCTGATTTTGCTGCTGCTGATATTGATCATGATGCAGGTGTTGTTGGTGCTGCTGTTGGGTCTGATGCTGCCACTGGTGCTGCTGTTGGGCCTGATGATGCTGCATCTGATGCTGGTGTTGGGTCTGATGCTGCCTCTGGTGCTGCTGTTGGATTTGATGGGTCTGTTCATGCTGACTCTTATGTTGGTCTTGGTTCTGCTGTTGCTGCTGCATATTTTTAGAAACACGCTGCTGCTGTTGGTTCTGCTCCTACTACTCGCTATCCTGATTCTGCTATTGTTGATTGTCTTGTTGCTGTACCTTGCAACCAGCTACATTATGGCCGGCAACACCACATTTTCTGCAATGGATGACTATCTTCTCCGCAACCTGTTTCCAGTCTTTTGAGTTTTAGTCGGATCTCTTCTTCTGGACTTCTTATGTCTGCCAGGTTGCACTATCCTTTCTGGTGGATCAAGATCTACTCCATCAGCTTCAGGCCACATTACTTGTCCATTGATAGGATACAAAATATTTTGATAATTTTTTAGAAACAGGTCTCTGTTGTAGCAATCATACACCTCTCTATAGGGGTCGCCATTATCTCTGTGAATTGCTGCAATAGCATGACAGCAAGGAATACCAGATAGATCCCACAGTTTGCATGTGCACGATTTTTTCTTTAAATAAACAGCAAACTGGACCCCCCTTGGTCCCCTAACCTGGTATCCATCCACAGCAATCCAAATGGTCCTCCACTGCCTTGATTCTATCACTCTATCATCAATTATTTTTTTAATTAGTGGGCCAATGGACAATTCAAACTTCTCCATTGCAGTTGTCCTTCTCTGTATCCTCTCCATCAGAAATACCCTAATGGACTCTAACATTGTGATAATTGACTGCTGCCTAACTTCAAGGATATGACCATTAAAACTTTCACACAAATTATTAATCAACATATTGCATCGAGTATGTTCTGAAAAAAAAGTCTTACACCAATGACTGGGATGTGGTGCTTTCTTCACCCATTTATATGCTTCCTTGTCAAATTTTTTCAGATCTGCTGCTGCTTTCTTGAATAGTCGCTCAGTAGTACTTGCTGCAATGTTCCACAGTTTTGTCGTCAGGGCAAGTCCACGATGTTTCTTCTTGAAGTTGTTATACAGGTGCTGCATACAGTATCTGTGCTCACTGTTTGGTAGTACCTCAGATAATGCTCGGTCAAGACCCTATATATTATTACAAACTAAAAGCATTAGTAAATTGAAACAGATCTGTGTACAATGCATATACAAATGGAAGGAGTTAATACCTTCTGCTGGTCAGAAACAAAGGTGTAGCTGTACCCATTTTCAATCTGCAAGTCATTCTTCAGCAGTTCAAAAAATCATATCCACTGTTCAGTTGCTTCCCTCTCAACCACTGCCCAAGCAATGGGCCACCATCCATTGTTGGGATCTACTCCAATAGCAGTCAACAGCTGTCCCCGATATTCAGCCTTTATGTGGCATCCATCAACTCCAATAATGGGCCTACAACCGTCAAGAAAGCCTTGTTTTAATGGTCCCAAACAGCAATAAAGTCTCATGAATTTTGGGTTGCATCCAGGTTGTCTGATGGGAGTAAATATAACTTTCATTGTGGTATTTGGGTGTGTCATCTTAATTTCTGCACAATATCTCCATATGTCCTTATATTACTGCTCTGCATTCCCTTGAATCTCTTTTTTAGCAATTGCCATTGCATTGTATGCCATCCATTTTAAAATTTTAGCTTTGAAGTCCTCATCAACTATTTGTCTTAATAATCTTGGAGGCATTTCAACATTACATCTAAACCTCTCCATGTACTTGTTTGCAAGCCATTTAGCAGAAATATTCTTGTTCTTCCATACATGACTGCAGTTTGTGTGCTCATTATTCATGCTCTTGACAACCAAATCAGCTGTCCCAAGTTCCCTCTCAACTGAAGCATAAACAAACCATTGGCAAGGAGGTTTGCATTTTGCTCTAAACCTTTTTTTTTCATTTGTTTATGGCTTTACTGGTTTTCCTTTCATGATGGAATATGTTCTAACAGCTAACTTAGCTGTTCAGCTGACTCAAACTTCATTCCTATGTGAAACTCAAAATTAGGGTCTTTTAGATCTTTCTCCGGATTGAAGTCAACATACATATTTCTCCAGTCATCATCATTCTCTTCATCTGAGGAGCCAGCATCACTATGCAACTCAGTCACAACTGTGTCTTTATCTAATGCATGTACATCATCTAAATGAGGAGCTGCCTCTTCTCCTGATGCTCTATTGTTGTTTCTTGTCCTTCTAACTTGCTTCTTCCTCCACGACTGTTGGTTTCCGGTTCCCACATCCGTAGGTTGTTCTTCATTTGTCTCAGGCTGCTGCTGAGGTTCAAATTCAGTTTCAAGTCCTGATTGTTGTGACCATGGATCCATCCCAGCTGTTTGTTGTTGTCTGCCTAGCTCATTTGCAACTGATTCTTGCTGTTGTGCAGCATTATTACAATCAACATTAGAATTGGGATGTTGTGAAGATCTAGGTTGCTCTGTATTTGAAGAATCCACACCAGATTTTAGCCCCTCAACAATCAATTCTTCTAACATTTCTTCATCCCTACAGAAATCCCTATCAGCACTAAAGCGATCACAGTCTCTATCCGAATCAATATCAGTCTCCACTTGGCCATCTATATTTCCTCTATCATTTGCATCCCCATCATCCCCATTATTCAAGGTATTCTCTTTAGAAGAGTTCCCAACATCTATCTTGCCAATTGATCTTGTAAATGGCACTAGTTCAAATCCAGGTTCCCTAATAACATTTCCATTTTCATCAAGTTCCTCGATGGTGACTGCGACTTTTTGACTCAGCTCTAGATCAGAAGGAAGGGACTTTGTGGCCATCATCTTGATTTCATTCTTTGACTTGTGGTCACAGTACACCTCCATGATTTTATGCTTATAAGCCCAATTGCAAAAACTGATAATGGCTTTATCAGTAGATAATTCCTTCAACCCACTTCGAAAATCTTTTCTAGGCTCAACATAGTAATACACCATACATCCATAATGCCCTAATTTATCCACCATGTAGTTTATTTCATGCACAGACATTGTTTCCGCATCACATAAATCAACATAATCTACATGCCCATCAATGTATCTGTAATTTTGTCAATTGAATTTACCCCTATGATACATCCGTATGGTGAAGAGAGAAGAACCTGGCACTGCATGACATGCGATTAGTTAAAAAAATTAAAATTTTAGTCAAAACTAGTAAACCCAAATTCAATGAATGAATTATTTATTAACCCCTTTTTCCAGCATTAAGAATACTTTAATCAGTGTACTATGAAATCTCTATACTTTATTGCAAAAAGCCAAAACAACGATAAAATGTAGCCCATACATACATGAAACACACAATCTATTCTGGGATGTGGATAACTAAACAAACTTAGGGATTTTAAAACTTTACCGTATGCATCAGATGGATCAAAATGCTGGCCCCTTGGTCTAATCACCCACTTGGGCCACTCCATCGTTCCAGGAAATGAAGATCTTGTTTGTCAACCCGTTCTGCTGTCGCTCAATCCCCCAAAATTCTTCGTTGTTGCGTTTTTCTTTGATTGTCAATTGTTTGATGTTTGGGTTTAGGTAAGGAAGAAGAAGAACAGATGCATGGGAGAGGAAGAAGAGGTGCAAGTGATATTTTCGACTTCCTAAATTGACCCTATCTTTTGTATTGAAAATCGCGCGGACAGACACATCGGGGAAGTTAACGACTAAATCTAACAGAATGACCTCGCATCTACCTTTTATACAGTTTGGTGGTCAAAACCAGACTTTTAATAGTTGAATGACCAAAACTCGACGATGGCATAAGTTTAGTGGCCACTGGGATAATTTGCTCTTGATGAACTGTTCCGTACCAGATGTTTTCTGATGTCAAATACCGGAGTCGCTGAAGCCCTCCTGTTTCTTTTGTCTCAAATTCTTTAAGGATTGCACAATTTTCAACTCGTTATGATAAATGATTATATGTCATAATTACGTCCTAAAATGCACATTAATGTTTCACGCGTACGCATTAGCACATTTTCATACATTGCTCAGCACGAGAACCTTCCTTGACATTTTAGAAGATTCCACTGCCTTCATTACTTTCGGTTTCAATCGCTCCATTTTGGT